CCAACAAAGTGTTTTGTCTCCACACAATCCATTTTCATTAATTTAATCTAATTTTGTTTTAAAGCGTATAATATAGTTTATATACGGTAAATGCAATAAATAAACTCATACATCTTTCTCACCATTGGTGAGGTTTGAACCTCTGACCTTCTAGGAGGCAAGAGGCTCGGATACCACTAGGACAAAGACCATTTGATAATTTAATCAAAATTTTTAATAGAAATAATTTTGGGTTAATTATAATAATTCCCCATTTGACATGGACTTGCCACAAAATATATCTTCTTTTATCAAATGATCTTTAGTCTAGCGGTATCGTAGTCTCTAGTCTCTTAGGAGGTCAGGGGTTCAAACCTTACCAAATGTGAGAAGGGTATGTGAGTTTATCTGTTACATTTGTTGTACGTAAATATTATATACTTCAAATATATATATATATATATATCTTTTTTTTAAATTTATATGAAATAGCCAACATTCTGCATAACGGTTTCGCAAAATTTTTAGAGTAGTCATTGACATTAAGCTAATAAATGAATTTCAGAAACTACATGTGAATAATTTTCGAAAAATTGGGTCAGTTTTATAAAACGTAGAAGATATCAGTTACAAATGGTTGTTGTTATAATTATTCCTGATATCTTCAATGAAACGTGAAAGATATCTTGTAATATATAAGTGTTAGGTCATTGACCAACATCTTCCTAAATCGAAATGTGGCGTTGACTGCTACGCTATAAATGAAATAAGTTGTGCCTTCTCCACTAGCAATTGCTTTTAGCGTAGTAGTAAGCGTTTGGACCATAACATGTAGTATCAGAGCAGGTCACGAGTTTGAATCTTCATGGGGGTGCATAATAATGCCAAAGGCAAGGTGTGCAGCCATTGTCTTCTAGCGAAGATGTTGTCAGTGCTGGCAGATGCTAGGGGGTGGAGATTGTTGGGTCACTGACAACTTATGACGCATTGATTTGATGAGACGTCGGGGACGATTTTCGTTTGTATTGTTCATTTTGTTAGCGTACCGTGTATTATAATACGTAGATGTTTTTGCAAATCAAGCAATGATGAAACAAATCTTTCTAACTTTGATACGGGTAATCATGCATTATAAAAAAGATATACGTGTAATGCAACTATTTTAATTCCTTTATACTACGAAAAATAATTCGATGGCATGTTCACAAATTATTCGTAATATCAAGATTGACTATAAAATGTTTCTAGTTTCACCTAACACACAGATAAATATATTGAACACGAGTTTTATATGATTTTAATGATTTTGATACTTAAAATGACACAACCAGACATAAAAGTCTTCTTAATTATTTTTTGGGTTATCAATGCTACATTCTTGTTAAGGGTTGTTTGTTTACCTCTTAATAGTTACATTAACAGTCAACTTCTGAATCGTTAAGATGTGAATCTTGCTTGTCAAAATTTTTTTTTGTCTCTTAATGGTTCTAAAACCCTTTGAATGATTTCGTATCCTGACCATCCCTTGACCATTCAGTGCCTTAATTTCGTTGTAAATAATTACCAAACAATTATATTTTATTTTGCACTATATCATGAGAGTCTCTTAATCATTCTGCGCCAAACCATTCAACAACTCCCAAAAAGCCCTTAAATTTTAATTAAAGTGTAGACGAAAATAGGGCGAACGAGGGACCGTGTGCGTTATTTCCTGACTCGCAGATTGTCGGTTAAATTCACATGTTAATTGTGGTATTAGAATGTAAAATAAAGAAAAAGATGGTCAAAATTCAACAATCAATAGTCATATTATGACTTCTCAAACACTTAATTAATTAGGTTTAAGAATTAAAGTAATCTTAAAGAAATGCAAAAGTTAGAAACAGAAAATGTGGTCATGGGATTGACCCCAAATAAGAAATACTAACACAAAACTAATCCACACTTCATAGTTTTTTTCAAGTTGGTTCTCATACCATAGCTGACTGAGAGTGTTTGAAAACCCGACCAACCCGATCAATCTAACATAACCTAACGTGAAATAACTTAAATCGAAGCAACCTGATGTCTAATCGAATTGTAAAATTTTCAATCCATTCGCATTTTATATAACTCATTCTTATATATGTTTAGTAACTGTGAACATATATATATATATATATATATATTGAGAAAATTAAATGAATGTAATATACGTAAGAAGTATGGATAAGTTGTTTCAAATGGTTGATGATGAAAAAAAATCATGAGTAGAAAAATAAGATATTCAAGGTTAGAAGAATATTTTAATGTACTAAAGTATTAACCCGACCAACCCGTACGGTTTTGGTTGGATTGGGTCAAGATTTTTCAAACCACAAGCATTGGGTTAGGTTGTTCAAATGTCTTCAACCCTATCAACCAAACCCATGAGCATCCTAGTTAAAGCAACACAAATATATATTTCATCAATATGGAAATAAGTGATTTGTCATAAATAAGTGTTCATTTTATAAAATAAAAATCTATTTTTTTATGTTGTACTTAATTATGAGATGGAGAAAAAGTTCTTTATCTATGATCAGGGGTAAAATTGTCTTTTTTTTTGTTAATTAAAAAGTATAATAATTACACTTCCATAAAACTATGTACGTTTTTTATCGTGAACATTTATAATGAGGCGGATGAAGTAACTGAAACATGTAATAAAATGGTTAAAGTATGTTTTGTAGCAATAAGACATAATCTTGTACTTCCTCTCATGTTCATATGTATTTTCATGCATCTAATTGATGTTTTGTTTTAAATGTATGACGAACTAGGTATCTGTAGGGGTGTATGTGGGTTGGGTTAGACGATTTTTGACATTTTTACAACCCAACCTAATTATGACAGGTTGAAAAATCTCTACCCAACCCAAACTCATTCAAAAGTATAACTCAACCCAACCCTTGCAGATTAGATGGTTTTTTATACACCCCTAGGTATCTGACTTGTCAATTTCAAACCGTCTCATATCATGTGGTGCAAAAACGTCTAGATAATAATGTATAAAATTTCAATAATGACCATTAATGAACTGTATTTTTTTTTTTAAAAATAGATAAAATAATTACTATAATTTCATAATTTTTACTTGGACAAAATCTATTTAATAATATCATTTATATTTTTACGATCGTATCTTTTATTTCTTTTATTTCAGTTTTAACCAAAATAGTTCACATCAGTAGTCAATTTTGAACGTGAAGACAAAAGGAGAAAATTCCCGGCACAAGTATTCTTAACATATGTGTCGTTATTGATAACTATATCATATAATTTACTAAATTTAGAAGAAAGTAATGTAATTAATATGATTCTATAAACATGTGAGTTGTTAAAAATATATAGTTCGATACGTTAAAAAAATACAATTCAAATAATAAAAAATATAAAAAAAATTATATAACATATGAAAATAATAACAAAATACATCAAAAAGCTTTTGGCCTAGCGATATGTGAGTCTTTAGTATCTTAATAGGTCAATAGTTCAAACCTCATCAAAGATAAGGAAAGTATGTGGTTTTATTTATTTTATTTATCATGTATAAATATTATATACTTCAAAAAAATATCGTAAAATATCCCTTAAATATTAAAATACTTGAAAAAATATGGATCCAAATCCATATTCCCCCTTGTTCTACATCTTTCCATAATAAAAATGACATGACTTTTTAGCAATGTAATTATTACATTCCTTAAGTAATTAAATTACACTTTTACCCCTCATGATAGTGAGATACACTTTTTTCCATCTCGTAGTTAGAGTAGAATGAGAAATTGGAAAATAACTTTCAAAAGTGAATACTTTTTTTTATTAATCTAGATATCTAATTTGTTATGTAAGCTAATTAATCTTAAGATGATTATCTGTTTTGTAGATAGACTGGAGTCATTATATTTAAACCTCCATGACCACAAGAGGATTTTTATTCCTGCTTAGATTTGAACATATGACCTACTGATACTTTTGACATTTGGAGCTAAGCTCAAACCAATCAGACATCACCCTTATGGTTATGAACACTTATTTTAGAACAAGCTAAAATAGAAATACATACATTTAATCTGAAACAGAAAAAAAATATAAAATAAATATGGGTCTTTGGTCTTATGAGAAATCAAGGGTTCAAACTTCATCAAAAACAAGAAGGATGTATTAGTTTATTTGTTTTATTTATTATATATAAATATTATATTAGAAAAAAATGATGATTTTGGTTTAAAAAGTATCCATTTTTAGGAGTCGCCGGTCTTGTTCTATGGGAGCATAAAAGTGTCGTACAACTTGCAAGCAATCCAAACGCATAAACCTTTTTTTCTTTAACCTTTGGTCGACAGGATAACTTTGAGTATTTTTTTTTTTTTTATTATAAATAATTTTAAATATTTTGTTATTCAAAAAATTGTTTGACTTAAAATATATAAAAACGAAGGAGTTTTAAATACAAATCATTTCATTCATATAAATTATATAAATCAATCTCAACCGTTCATCTATTTTAATAAATATTTGATTTCAAAAATATTTTAATATAATATAAAAAGTTTGTTGTAATTAATGACCTTTAATATTTTTCATAAATATTTAAATTCGTAATTAAAAAATTAACAAAAATTATATGATTCCCATTTATGTTTCTGATGACATATTTATTAGCAGTTTAACGAGACTTACAATTTATTCAGTATCTTATAAATAACTGTATAATAATGACTTGATAATATAAAAATAGTTTTAGTAATTTTATGCAGAAAACCAAAAAAAAATTGTTTCGTAACTCGGAAGTACGACTCAGTGTACCGTTTTTTCATCACTGGGTCCCACCTCTCTATTCCCACTACCTTCTTGATTCTAAAATACGCCAGTACCTTCTTGATGCTAAAATAGGCCACCACCCAACCCCTTATATTTCACTCTAATCTCCTTCATCCCCACATTCCTTCTCCACCGTCATTGACCGCCACTGTTGACTTCCGCCACCGCCGCCGGTGATGGGTTTTCTTCCATGTCCATGCACATTGTTCACCCATTCATCAAATGATCACCAACAAGATCAATTACCAGATCTTCAAGAAATCCACTACGATTCTAAATCTCTTTCTTCACAACCAAGTTTACCCTCAGTTGCTTCTTTAACTTCAAATTTACAACCACCGTCAACCACCGCCAACCACCACTACATCACCACCTTCAAAGGACACACATCTTCTGTGCTCTCCCTTGCCCTCACCGAAAGACACCTCTTCTCCGGTTCCTACGATACCCAAATATGTATCTGGCCTCGAGACCCATCTTCGCCACCGCTGCCCCCTCTTTCCCATGGCGGAACCGCCGTGAAAGCCATGGTGGTTCACGGCGACAAGATATTCACCGGCCACCAGGACCATAAGATTCGGGTTTGGAAACTAGACGAAAAAGAGAAAACGGTCAAGCACGTGGCTACTATACCGACGCTCCACGACCGTCTGATGAAGATGGTGTTAGCTAAAAACTATGTTAAAATACGGCGGCATCGGCGGCGTACGTGGGTGCATCACGTGGACGCCATTTCGGCGTTGGCGTTATCGAAAGACGGTTCTTTGATTTACTCGGGTTCATGGGACCGGACTTTTAAGGTGTGGCGGACGTCCGACTACAAGTGTTTGGAGTCAGTTTGGAACGCACACGATGACGCCATTAACGCCGTCGTTGTGTCCCATGATGGGTACGTTTACACCGGCTCCGCCGACCGGAAAATCAAGGTGTGGCGGAGACAAGGGGGCGAGAAGAAGCATGAAGTGGTGGACACTTTGGAGAAACACAAATCATCGGTGAATGCTTTGGCGTTAAGCACCGACGGGTCGGTTTTATATTCCGGTGCTTGCGATCGGTCGATAATAGTGTGGGAAAAGGCGGAGGGGGGCGGATGTGATGGGCGGCACATGGTGGTCGCCGGTGCACTTAGGGGGCATAGTAAGGCGATTTTGTGTATGGGTGTGGTGGCAGATGTGGTGTTTAGTGGATCCGCGGATAATACAATTAGAGCATGGAGGAGGGGTATAAATGGAAAAAGTTATTGGTGTTTAGGGGTAATGGAAGGGCATAAAGGTCCAATAAAATGTTTGGTTGCTGCATTGGAGGATTGTACTCCTGCTGCTATTCATGGTGGTACATCTTATGTCGTATATGGTGGGAGTTTGGATAGTGAAATAAAGATGTGGAAATTATGGGTACCCTTTCTTTGAATTTTAGTTTTGTTTTAATTAATTAACCTAAATTTGTGTGTGTGTGTGTGTGTGGAGAATTTATATTTATATTTAAAATTAAAATTGCTTTATGTAAATAGGAAGGGTGATATGTTTTTTTTTTAATTTTTAATAAATAAATATAACAAAATGGGAATGGTTTATTGTATACTTGCTTATGGTCCATAGCTTTTTAATGAGTTATATGGGTTATGGGTCATGGGTCATGGGTTGGATTGAAGCCATCCCACTAAGTGTCCAATCCATGGACCATTGATACATTTGACTATGTTTACATTCACACATATATGTGGGCTTTATACACACACACACACATATCACGTTCGACCAACATGTTTTCGTAAAATTTGTGAGATCATTTTTTTACACTTGAAACTTCACAATAAAACGCTGTGAAAGTAACATTCACAAAGTTTTGTTGTGAGGTTTCAAGTGTAAAAAAGTGGTCTCACGAAACAGACTGATAATAACACCTCCATTTTACGAAAACACAAGAGCATCCTTATCACATGTGATAATATATGTGAGAGGACGTGGTGAAGTGCGGACAACTTGGCCCGTGATCTAGGTCACTCAAAGGTTATTAGCTAGTGTCCCAGATTTAGTATTATATGAAGAACGCCCTTATCACATGTGATAATACAGATGATAGGGCCTAGTAGCGTTCGTGCGACTTGGCATGCAACCAAGGTCATGTCAAAAGTCGTCCGCATCTCTGAATTAGTATCACATGTAAATCATATGTGATAGACTATATTACCACTATGATTGACTATAGTAAAAAATGGTGTTCTCACGCTTTCATAAAATAAATATCTTCTCGTTTTAACCTTTCCTTATATATTACATAGACTTTTTATAACTCCCTCCATATAGATATATCACTATGATTTTATATTAGACTTAAAAGTTATTAGATCCTTCTCCTCTTTCGATATTTGAACCGTTAAAAATGGTATGAGAATCGACACTTGTGCCATCAAGATAGTAGAGCAATGACGATGACTCCTTAGGGGTCGGGATGCTTAAAACATCATATGCAAATTTCACATCGTCAACTTTGAATAAGGTGGAAGTTGGGTACGCCTAACGAGACTGGCGAGAACTTAAATGGGAGATCGAGCATATATGAACTCGATCCATACCAATATAAAACGAGACCCGAGAATTCCTTATAATCCCCAAGTTGATTTTGGAATTATTTATTGCTTTGAACTTTGGGATGTTTCACATAGTTCTGTGTATGTGTGTTTTATAGGTGTTCATTTTGCCATACAAACTATATAACATGCTTATACCATGCTAAATCAGATGGTTTGGATCTTTTACGTTACAGTTTGTGATCAGTATTTTTTTTTTTCAAACTATACTATACGTTTTTTTTTTATGGTTTTGAATTATGCTAACCAGATATGATGTTTAATTTGTGATTTTGATTCTAAACCAGATATCATGTTTAATTTATGATTTTGATTCTAAACCAGATATCATGTTTAATTTGTGATTTTGATTCTAAACCACACTGAGAACGTCCCTAATTTTTTTTATAATGTTATCGATAAATTATAGTGAGGTGTTTTTATAATCATGGATATATTTTTAATCTCCGCCATAACTTGGACCACATTCATCTTGTTTACACCTCGACGTGGGTTTACTTGGCTTCAGTTCGTTACCGTTACGACCTGTATATACCAAAATTAAAAAATTAATTACCGCAATACTTCTTGAATCGTAATAAATTTATTTACCGTGAAAAAAATAAGATATGTTCTGATTATTATTGAATATCACGTAAGAAATACAAATTACAACTCATAACTTTTACGTGAACAAATCCTATCTGGTGTAAGAAAAATATAAGAGAAAGAAGACTTCTTGATCTCTTGAAGAACTAAACAGATGTGATCGATTAATTCATCAAGACGTATGTTTCAGATGTTTTAACTCTCTCCAAGATAACTTTTAGGGGGTGTTTACCAAATGTTTACCCAGGTAGGTGCTTACCAAATCACATTACCTTTGTGGATGTAAATGACAATGACCAAGAATCTTATCTTGTAAGAACGAAGGTAAGGACGAGAGTTTTACCTAGTAAGTGAGGGTCATGACTCTTACCACGGTTAGTGCTTATAGAGTAAATTGTTGCATACGATACAGTTCTGATGAACTAAAACCTTACCCATAACACATAAAAATTGAGAAAATAAGAAAAATATGCTAATCTCTCGCAAATCCCTCACTAATTAGCGACCGATGCCACGTGTCTATCACTAATCAACAAAGGATCTGCGAGAAATATGCCAAAAACCAGTTCCGTCACAAATCAGCGAGAGATTTGTGAGGGAATAGGCCAAAAATCCATTCCCTCGTTAATCAATGACGGAATTGATTTTTGGCCTCTCTCTCTCTCTCGCTCATCTATCGCTAATACTCTGTTCTCTAGTGGTGCTGGTTAGCCAGTGATATTGTTGAATTTTACCAATAAGTACTTAATTAAGAAAATATTTGGTAAACAACCCTTACGTATGCTTCGATAACCTTTATAAATCTGAAATTATGATGTGCACTCCACAATTTTAACTATCTCCACGAAATCCAACCAATACATAATAGAGTTTTTCATGATAAGATTGGATCAAAACATACAACTTTTTAATATTTACCGCATCCAATGTAATTAAAATATTGGTTCTTGTGGTTACGGATGTTCAAATGCGTTGACTCCGGGCTATCTGTAAAGCAGGTGGTCGCCTTGAAATTAGTCGACTCGCATAGCGGGTTAGATATCCAAGTTAATAAAAAAAAAATTGGTTCTTGATCTTGTAATTATAAAATTGATAGATGGATTGTTGTGTGAATAAGTGTAAGGCCCATCTAACCTTAACTACTATATGTGGTTTGTGATCATTAATTGTACATGTAATAATCTTTTTTTTGAAACTTAATTAATGAAAACTATGGTGTTTTTGACTTATTTTTTTGGAATAAATAAATAAATAAGAATTAAGCAATAATTATATTATGTGATAAATAAGGATAAAATAAATAAAATCATTTTTGGAAATTTACATTCTAACAAATTATGAGAAGAAAGTTACACGATCCAATAAGTTATATATCAATAACCTAAGGTGGTGTTTGTTTTTTAAGAGGTGTTGAAGTTTGAAATCTTATTTCACTTCTGATTAATAAGAGGTGGTGCTGAAGTTTGAAATTTGAATCGATAAGAGTACAAGAGTGTTCACATATTATTTTATAATTACTTTAAACCATGTAATTGATTATATGTTAGTTGTCCACAACTTGGGATTTATAAGAAACTTACAAATCTTATTTTTTATTCACGTGAGATGGGTTATTACTCCCTCTCTGTGCCTGATACACCATACTTAAATGAATACAGTTTCACATATTATTTTCCAGCAATGTGGGAGGAACAGTTACAAACTTACTCACGTAAATTCTTGACGTCCTCGTCATCAGTTAGGATTCCCCACGCCAACATCCCTCTAACTCCTCAGTGATGCGTATTTATATAATATGTTATGGACAACATCTTAGGGGCTCACGCTCACCGTCCTCGATGAGGATTTCCCATACCATCCCAAATGGTATAAAGATAGACTCCAATACTATTTGCAACGTCCCTAAAATGTAAAAAGACAAGTTGACCCAATAACTTGTATAATGTAGTAATCTATATTGTTTTACTAAGGGGTTGTTTGTTTACCTCTTAATAGTTCGATTAAGAGGCAACATCTGAACCGTTAAGAGGTGAATCTTGTTTGCCAAAAAAAAAATATGTCCCTTAATGGTTCTAAAACTCTCTGAATGATTTTGTATCCTGGATCTCCCTTAACCATTAAGAGCCCTAATTTCATTGTACACAATTACCAAACAATTATATTTCATTTTGCACTATATCATGAGAGTCTCTTAATCATTCTGACCACTTAATCATTCTGCATCAAATCATTCAGTAATTGTCAAACAGTCTCTAATTAGAACATTATCAACAAAATAAGATATTGTGATATTCCTTAAAAGAAGCAAATCTCTTTCCATTTCTAAAGTGAATTGAAGAACTCTAGTGAAAAATGGAAGTAAAAGGGTCTTTTTTTTAACTTCTCTCTCATGGGTTTCATCATAACTACTATTCAAGTTGAGGGCAGCCATTGTTGTAATGCATATAGGAACACAATTAATAAGCAAAAAAAAAAAAGGAAAAGAAACCCTTTCTTCATGATATCTACAGTATTAATTATACCTTGGTACATCATTCATTTCAATTCTGCTTAATTCAATATCTGAGGATCTCTCTCTCTCTCTCTCTCTCTCTATATATATATATATATATACACACACACACACACATATATATATATATATATCTCTCTCCAGCAGGTGCAAGAGCAGCTAGCAGCAATGATCATGTCTGCTGACCTCTCTCTCTCATCATTAGTTCCTCCTCAAAGATCGATCAAACCCACAAAACCCAAAAAGAAAAGATCGGTGAAGAGAGTTAGAGAGAAGGTAAGGAGCTGTTTCATTTGAATAAGAATTAAGAAGACGATCGAAGAAGTGAAAAAGACATGGGTTCATTGAAGAAGAAGAAGAAAAGAAACCCTAGATAGGTCAAAGGTCAACTCTTTATTCTCTTTCTTGAAAATCCCTTTTTTCACTCTCTCTCTCTTCTCTCTCTCTCTCTCTAACTATTTTCATCTCGATCTCATGGGGAATGAAAGCATATTGGTCCGATTGTTTGCATAGATCAAACAACCCTATATATCCTTAATATATATATATATATATATATATCATGTAATTGTTTGCTTTTGTGTATGTTCGTCGTGTTGTTCTTGTTCTTGTTTTTGGTATCAAGATCTCTGTTAAGGGGTTGAAAGAAGATAATAAATGTGTTCGTAATGATTTGCTGTTGATGTTGTGAAAGTTGAAACAAAGAAAGTGGTAGATATATGTATGA